TCAGAAGAGAAAGGGGGGATCAGAGAGAGGGAGAGAGGGAGGGTGTAACACACAGAGAAGGATGGGAGGTGGGCAGGGTCCTTTTAAAAGGAACTTAGTGAGTATACACAGGTGGTGCTCTTAGTGGCTGCAGCTGAGGGCGTGTCCTGTCAGAACCCCAAGGGCAGGCCAGTACAGATGCCTGAATCCTAACAGCCACCATTGTCAGAACCATGTACCTACGGTGGTTTAGCCCCGACAGTTTGTGCCCACTGGGTTTGCTGGCTTCTGTGAGATAGTTGCCAGTAGAAACAGCAGCACTGTCTCCCAGGAGGTTGTTTGTTTGTTAGTTTTTCTACCAGGAAGGTTTTTTGTTTTTTGTTTGTTTATTTTCCTGACATTTACTAGGAAGTTGAGCCAGAGGACAACATAAAGATGACATAATGACATGTAGCCATCCTGCAGTTTCCCCTTCCCACTTCCTGTTAATGCAAGATGCTTTCTGACTCTGTATTTATTTTTATTTTGTGTATATGGGTGTTTTGCCTGTGTGTGTGTGTGTGTGTGTGTGTGTGTGTGTGTGTGTGTGTCTGTGTGTGTGTGTGTCTGTGTGTGTGTGTGTCTGTGTGTGTGTGTGTGTGTGTCTGTGTGTCTGTGTGTGTGTGTGTCTGTGTGTGTGTGTGTGTGTGTGTGTGTGTGTGTGTGTGTGTGTGTATAGGCACAGAAAGTGTGGGCCTGGTTGACATGGAGGCCAGTGGAGGGCTCTAGGCCCCCTGGAGCTGGAGTTAAAGATGGTTGTGAGCCACCTTGTGGGTGTTGGAAGCCAAACCTGGTCCCCTGTAAGAGCAACAGATTCTCTTAAACTGCTGAGCCAGAGCTGATGCTCCAGCCCCTTGTCTGTCTGTCTGTCTCTGTCTCTGTCTATCTGTTTTTGATTGGTTGGCTGATTGTCTTAACTGATGTACTACACATTGAGCCCAGAGAAAAGCAAATGCCTCTTTTTCAGAAAGTAGGCAAGGCCCTTGATTCCTGTTTTATTTCCTCTTCTAAGTTCTAAGTTCATTTAATCAAAGGTTTATCTCGCCAGACGTTGGTGATGCATGCCTTTAATCCCAGCACTTGGGAGGCAGAGGCAGGCGGATCTCTGTGAGTTCGAGACCAGCCTGGACTACCAAGCGAGTTCCAGGACAGCCTCCAAAGCCACAGAGAAACCTTGCCCCAAAAAAAACAAAACAAAACAAAAAAAAGGTTTATCTCCTGGAACTTGCAAGAGAATAACTTAGAACCAAAGAGAGGCACCCTTTCTCCCCTTACTTCATGACTTGTGTGCCCCCTGCTGCCCGTGGCCTGCCGTAAATCTCTTGGTCTTGGACCCTCCCAGGTAAATATTCTAGGTAAACATAAAAAGCTCTTTGGAGACTGCTGTTGACTTACTGGAGAATAGCAGCTTTGTACTAAGCATACAGCAGCATTTGTAAAAATAACTTCAAAATAAGAGAGGTTGGGAAGGGAAGTCACACAGCTAAAGTCAATGAAAAGCTAGCAGGGTCATTGCGTCAGTGTTTTCTGTTTGCTTTTTCCCCTTGGCTCTATATATATATATAGAGAGAGAGAGAGACAGACAGACAGACAGACAGACAGACAGACAGACAGACAGACAGACAGACAGAGACAGAGAGTGAGTCATTTTTGTGTGTTTGACAGTTTCACAATGTACTGAGATTATGTTCACCTCCTAGTACTCCTGCCCCACCCGGCTTCCGTGGGTGTCCTTTTTCTTCTAACTAGTACTTCTCCTACTTACGTCCTGCCTTCCTGTAAACTGCCGATGCTGTGTATTGTGTATGCAAGGCCATGCTTTCCTGTCCAGAAGACATTTTCACAAGGCTCCTTCTCCATCCTCCAGCCCTTCCAGGCTGGCCTCCCTGGGCACATACACTCGTGTACACAGATAATGCCCAGATACATATTTAAAATTATAGCAAATCTCTTTTAAAGAAATGTGTGTAATTGTGAAAGTTGAAAACAACACAAATATCGAGTAGTACTGTGATGGTTAAAATGTACTGGAATTGAGTTTTTCTATTAAATCTATCTCCAATGAAGCCCTGAGGTTGATCCTCCATACCACATAAACTGGGTGTAGTACCACATGCTTGTAATCCCACTGCCGGGGAAAGACAGGAAGATCAGCAGTTCAGGACCCTCCTTGTTTGAGGTCCGCCAGAACCACATGAGACCTTGTCCCAAAAAGAAAGAAGAGGAAGACAGCAAAGAGGAAAGAAAAAGGAAAGCCGAGTGTGGTGGCACATGCTCGTATTCCCCAGAACTGAGTGGTGGAGGCAGGAGGATCAGGAACTCCAGGCCAGCGTGGGCCAGCATGGACCCTGTCTCGTAGAGAAGAGATGGAGAGGGACTGAGTTGTTATGGATTTGATAACACCAGGCCTCACTCTTGCTAAACACATACTCTGCCACCAAGCTATACACTCAACCACTAATTAGTATTCCTTAGTAAAACGTTTATATTGTAGAGGTGTAATCTAAAAACCTCAAGGGTATGTTTCTTTATGTGAAACATCAATAGACACCTGTTTTGGGAGAGGGGACTTTTCAAGACAAGGTGTTGTCCTCTGTGTAATAAGCAGCCCTAGCTGTCCTGTAGACCAGGCTGACCTCGAATTCACAGAGATCCACCTGCCTCTGCCTTCCATATGAAGACTTCCATGATATTTTTTTTTTTTTTTTTTTTTTTTTGGAGACAGCTCTCACTCTGTAACCCTGACTGGCCTAGAACTCTTGATGTATACCAGGCTGACCTCAGACTTGCAGAGACCTGTCTACTTTTGTGTCCTGAGTGCAAAGATTAAAGATGTATGCCTCCACAGCCCAGCCTCATCATACCATTTTAAACATAATTCAGTAGTGCTAAATCATCGACATTGTTGTGTATCCAAGTCCAGAATACTTCTAGACATAAAAGTTTTTCACTGAATCTGATTTTTTAGCTGTTTTGTTTTGTGGTTTGGGAGCTGCTGTCTCACTGTAGACAAGGTCATCATGCCCAATTTGAATCTAGTTTTGGAAGTCGCACACAGAGTGACAGCATTTATGTGTCAGCTCCCCCCACACACACACAGATGTCCTCAACAAGTTCAAAGAAAGAAAGAAACGGGTGAGGAAGGGAGAAATAGCCCAGCATCTCCATTATTCGTGGGCCCCCAGACTTGGATTCAAGCTTGCTGTGTATGTGAAAACAGCACTTGTTTTTCTTGTTTCTAAGCCAGCCAATGAGAGTAGGATTCCTCTGGATTCTCCTTGGGCAGTTTGCTCTCTGGACGGGGCAGGGAGGGGCTTCTGTGCTGTTGTTGAACTATTACTGTTAGTTTAGGTAGGCCCCTGGCTCTGCTTGCAGATGGTAGGTTCTTGACTTATTGGTCTTCCTGGTACAAGATTAAAGTGACATACTGCCTTGGAGTTCTTGGGCAGAAATCACCCTGAGTTGCTCTGGAGTCTTGTTTCCTTGAATTTATAAATGTGCTAAAGCTGCAGATTGCCAGGCCCTTCCTCTTACTCCCTCCTAGGGCCTTGATGTGACTTGTTACTTCTTACTGAGTCTTTTGTCTCTGTTTCCTTTTGGCTCAGAACTCTTGGGCTTGCAGTTAGAGTCTCCTTGGCCCAGATGATATATGCTCATTAAAAGTAACTGTTCCGGATACTTGCTCCCTTCAGAAACAGGAATCAGTCAAGGTCAAAGTCCGTGGCGGGGTGGCGCTTGGCTTTAGCTATACGTGTTTTGAGAGTGGGGAGTAAGTTTTGGTAGTCTCAAAGGGTGCCTAGGGGTAGCAGACAGACTTCATTGGCTGGTACCCTACAGTGTTGGCAGGAGGGTGCCCCCCACATCTTTCTGCTCCAACTTGGGGCTTGTTCCAGATCTGCATGTTGTATGACTCCTGGAGTTTTAAGGGCTGGTTTCAAACGTGAGAGATCGAGTGATTCATCGACCTCAGCCTCCCAAGTGGCTGGGCTCCCGTGTGTGTGCATACCACACCTGAGCCTGGCTGATTATGTGACTCCTGCTGCCACCTAAAATTCCTTTCCCTCTTTTCCCTCCTCCCCACCAAGGCCTCATTGTGACCCTTCTTTTCTTTTTAATGTATATGGTTGTTTTGCTTGCATGTATCTCTCTCCTCTCTCTCTCTCTCTCTCTCTCTCTCTCTCTCTCTGTGTGTGTGTGTGTCTCTGTGTGTGAGAGAGAGAGAGACAGACAGACAGACAGACTGTGTGTATGTATGTGTGGTGCCAGAGGAGGCTAAGAAGAGAGTCGTAGGTTCCTGGGAACTGGAGTTACAAATGGTTAGGAGTTACCATATGGATTCTGGGAATCGAACCCCGATTCTCTGAAAGAGCAGCCAGTGCTCTTAACCACTGAGCCATCTCTCCAGCCCCCTTATTACATTTCTTGAAAACATGTACCCAGGTCAAGGCCAGAGGTCTGAGAATTAGAAGCCAAGGATGGTTCCTGCTTCTTAAATGCTGTGATGCTGGTGATCAAACCAGGGTCTTTACATATGCTAGCAAGTGCTCAACTGCTGAGCTACACCCAGGCCCCTGGTTTTTACATTTTTCAAAGGATCATAAAGAAAAAGGAAATAAATAAAAAGTAAATAAAAATGCATGTAACCAACCTATACACAGTCTACAAAATCCATGGTACTTTTCTTAGGCACCTGTTTTCAACCTGTGTTGAAAGTGGATTTCCAAGCCAGCTGTGATTGCACGAACCTTTAATCCCAACACCTGGGAGGCAGAGACAGGCAGATCTCCATGAGTTCATGGCCAGCCTGTTCTGTCTACACAGTGAGTTTCAGGTCAGCCAGGGCTACATAGTGAGACATTGAAGAATAACAAAATGAGCGTTCCAGAAACTCCAATGACTGCTAATATTTCTTTGCATTCCTTTCAGAAGTCTGCTTTCTCTGCTGACTTGTAACCGTTTCCCTCTTCCTCCCCTCTCCAAAGAAATACCAGCCCTCAGATCCTGCCTTCGCCTACGCGCAGCTGACCCACGACGAGCTGATCCAGCTGGTCCTCAAACAGAAGGAAACCATCAGCAAGAAGGAGTTTCAGGTGCGGGAGCTGGAAGACTACATTGACAACCTGCTAGTCAGAGTCATGGAGGAGACCCCCAACATCCTCCGAGTGCCGACCCAGCTTGGCAAAAAGGCTGGAAAGATGTGAACCACAGGAAGGAACTGGAGATGCTTTGTGAGCTTGTTTCCACCGACTCTCAAGGTCAAGGGCAAGGTCTTCGTAGTAACCAGCACACAAGCTCTCATCACCGGGTGGGTGCCTTGTCTACCAAGAGTTTATTCTCCTAGTTCAAACCAGGTTAATCATTACAATGAGTCTTTTCTATACATTCCCAGCGGTTTGTTTTTAAATGCCACTGTGCCTTTAACTAACTTGTAAGATTTGATCCTGAGCCATCGACTCGGGAGGCATCATCGGAACCTAATGGATTTTAACTCTGGGGTTTTCGCCCTTTGGATACCGAGATCTTCAAGTATGTATCCTCCCTGAAGCCAGGCTTAGGGTGAGATCAGAAAGGAACTGTACAATGGATACAGCCCCCCATTTCTTGGCCTTCAGGCAGCTCAGGTGTGGGAGATGCTAAATTTTTATGTTTTGTGAACTTCTCAGACTCAAGGATTGTCTTGGTAGGGTTTTTGTTGAGGGGGCATTGTTCTGTTTTTCAAATAGGCTGTGGGATAGCCTGGGCTGCTCTTGACCTCACTGTATAGCTGAGGCTAGCCTTCTTCTGATCTCCTGCCTCCACTTCCCAAGCGTCGGGAATGCCGTCATGTTGATGCCTCTTGCCTGGAGCACAGCTGTTTACGGAAGCCTCTGAGCATGCTTCTTAGACTTGGAACAAATTGCCCTTCAGGTCTGCCTCTTAACCTTAAAACTACAATTTGTGGGCGGGGAGATTCAGCTTAGGGGGTGAAGGACTTGCACTGCAAACATGAGAATCTGTATTTGCATTCTTGGCACCCACGCAAAAGAGCCAACAGTGGTGGCAGGTGCCTGGGTGGGGGTGGGGGTGGGTGGGTGAGAGGGGCAGAGACAGGCAGATCCCAGGGACTCACTGGCCAGCCGTTCTAGCCGAGACAGGGGACTCTGGATTCAGTGAGGGGCCCTGTCTTAATAAGACGAAAAGCTACCTTAAATCTCTGCCCTTCATATGATCCCACATAGGTGAACACACCCCACACGTGTACATATGCACACACACACACACACACACACACACACACACACAGACACACAGACATGCCACCCACACCCACAGGCACGTATACACACTGTGCTTTTTAGGTTCATAGGGCCATCTCCTGGAGCCATGAAGGAATTAAGGAGGCACTTTTCAGGCTGGCTCAGCGGTTAAAAGCACTGGCTGCTTTTCTAGAGGGACCTAGGTTCAATTCCCAGCACCCACATGGTAGCTCACAACTCTCTGTAACTCCAGTTCCAGGGGATCCAACACCCTCACAGATGTCTGTGCAGGTAAAACACCAATGCACATTTTTTTTAAAAAGTCACTTTTCATTTAACTGGGAAAAATGGTCAGAGTCCCTCCTCTCATGCTGACAGGGTTCCTGTTGCTGGAGAGAGGACTAAGCGATGCAGACAATACTCCAGCCGTCCTGTGAGTTAGAGAATGACTTCAGGAAGGCTCCCTTGGCCATGTCCGTGCTTCTGTCTGCTTGATTTGTGTTGGCTTTCCTGGCAGCGCTCATAGAAGGGAGTAGCCAGAGCCCACCAGTTCCTAGGGGCCTTGGGCAAGGGGCTCAGTGGTAGCGAGCACCTGCCACTCCCACCCCCCACCCCCACCCCCACACTTGCTTTTTGATTGCCGCTTCCTGATTTGGGGGGGTTTTGTTGTTGCTGCTACGTTGAGACAGGATCTCACTGGCTTCAAACTTTTGTCCCTCTTGCCTTGTCTTTCCAAACACTGGGGTCATGGGTATGTGTCACCATGCCTGGTACATTGCTGTAGTTTTTAAACTAGAATATATATATATATATATGTATATGTAGTTTTAAAATGTAGATATATATCAATCCCATTTCATTGCTGGTCACTTCATGCTAGAATTAAAAGTGTTTCATGTTGTTCCTTTTTTTTTTTCCTGGTTGTAGTGATCTTAACATCTCTGCTAGGGGTAATCACAGGCCAATGAAATGGACAGGGTGGAGGTGGTGGTCGTTATCAATGAAGAATCTCTCTGTGTATGTCCTTGTCGTCGGAAGATGAGGACCATTGGTTACACTGAAGCACTTTAAGCTGATGGGCAGGACTCTAACTTGATTTATCTAATGATCCACACCTATTCTTATTTAATCTCTCCTACAATATTAGGGACCACTGCAAATTTCTGAGATAATTTGTAAATTTTTTAGTGTTGTAAAATTCATTAACATGCCTATAAAAAGCATATTCACTTGAATTCTGAAAATGTACATGTATATGTCTGTTCTGGGTCATGTTGTTTTACTTGATAAAAATGCATTTTTTACTGTGATAACCTAAGTGCATGGGGCAGGCACGGGTTCTCCAAAGAGCTGGCCTTGTTAGTGGCCAGTCTGGAGGTCTCTGCTGCAATCGGGACCTTCGGCATGTTGCTGAGTCAGCATTAGAGAGGACCATCAAGGTGGAGTGAATTCCTGTGCTCTGAAATGCCACTTGGGAACTCTGGAGAATGAAGGACAATTGACTGCAAGGGCTTCTAACTGCTGTAACTCACAGAGTACATAGAGGCCACGCCTACTTAGTAGCTGGTCTTGAATATGTAGTTGGGGCTGAGGGAAGATACCAAGGAAAGCTGAGCCCTGCAGTGAGAGGTTGGTGACTTGGATTGCCCTGGAGCTACTGAGGCTGGCCACTGGCTTGTGCCTGTAGCTACTACCAATGCCAACAGGAGGCGCCCTGGAAGGGCCTGCACTCCAGGAAAAAGGGGGCTTTTTCCTTGCGCTTGCCTGGCTGCCTCCAGAGAGCCCAGCCAGGGTATGACGGGGCATTGGATTAAATCCAGCAGACTCCGATTGGAGGCCAGCTTCCTAAAAATCTTTGTCCAGTTGTTTCTTAACTTACTCTTGGCTTCGCCACGTGGCCTGGCCTCCCTGTTTTATTCCAGTACGTTAGTTCCCCTTCAGCACCAGAAGGAAGGAGCGAGCAGCCCCGCTGAGCGCCATGCTCCACAGCTGTGCACAGACATGGCAGATGAGCTGCTTGCCTCCAGCTAATCAGTCCACGGACATCGAGAGAGGCCGGTCCGTGACGCTTTGTCATGCTCTCTCTTTATCCCTGGGTTCTCTCCTTTTAGTTTATTGGTGTTGGGGACTAAATCTGGTGCATGGCAATCCTGTGCCTTACCACAGAGTTACACCCTCAGGTAGACCCCCACCCTGCTTTGTGATGTTTTTGTCTTTGTTTTGTTTTGGTTTTTCGAAACAGAGTTTCTCTGTATTGTGTTGGAGCCTGTCCTAGAACTCACTCGGTAGACCAGGCTGGTCTCGAACTCACAGAGATCCACCTGCCTCTGCCTCCCAGTCTTTGTTTTTTTTAGTCGGGTTCTCATGTAGCCCCGGTTAACCCTGCACTGACTTTATGGCTACTGCTGACGTTTAACCCCTGATCCTCCTGCCTCCACCTTCCAAGTGCTGAGAATACCAGCATGCTACCATCCCAGGCTTTTGGTGTTTTTTTGTTTTGGTTTATTTTTGGCTGTGGGGGTGGGGGAGACGATCCTGATTAAGGATCCTAAAAGACTGAAAATCAGTCAGCTGCCTTAGACGGGAAACAGGAACGCACGCCAGCCCCAAGTCTGGATTCTCCTACCTACTTTGTGAACTACAAAATTGGCTCCCCTCCCTCTACCTGAAGGCTCAATGGTGTTTGTTTGTTTCAATTACAGAATTACCGTACCCTGCATGTTGCTTTGGTCTTTTGAACCTGCTTGGTATTGCTTCTAAGAAATACCTGAGGGATTAGGCGTGTAGCTCAGTTAGTACGGTGCCTGCCTTACATGCACAAAGCACTAAGTGTGACCATTTTTCCCCCAACCCTCTCTCCTCCAGCCCCCCACACCCCTCTCTCCTCCAGCCCCCCACCCCGGTACTACATAAGCTGAGCATCACAATGCACACCTGTAATTCCAGCCAGCACTGGGGGGCAGAAACAAGGTGACCAAAAGTTCAACTTCATCCTCAGCAGTGTAGGGAGGCTTTAAGTCAAACTGGAATACATGAGACCTTGTCTCAAAAAAAAAAAAAACAAAAAAAAAACACCACTGAAATTTCCTAACACTAAATAAAATGATGCTACCTTTTGAAGATTTGTGTCTGTATTTCACTTGGGGTGTGATAGAAGTTCCTTCTGTTGTGTTGGAAAACTTAAGGTGGTCATATCCCACAATGGTCTCTCATGTGAAGCCCTGCAACTACCTCCACAATCGTGCCAAAGGGTGCCTGAGCCCCTTGTGGAGAGGACAAACATGTCCATCCTGGCTTTCCATAGTCCTCATCTTATCCTGAGGGACCATGGCTTTGACACCCTGTGAATGTCTACCCCACAGTTTCCAGTGGGAAGTCTTCACCCGGGGCTTAGAAGTACCCCCATCAGAGAGGCCGATCCCGGGTCAGTCAGCTTGGATAACCTGATAGAAGCTACTAGGACAGATGAAGGTGTCTCCTCCTGACTTAACTTCCTCATCTTGCCTTTCCATCCAGGCTAAGTCTGTGTGAGCAGGGAGAGCTTCTGCTGGCCACAGGTGTGGAATGTGGTCCATAAGCCTTGCTCCATCCACTGTGGGGAGGGGCAGATACTGTTCCTCTTAGAGATGAGATCACATTGCAGAGCCCATGGTGCTCTAGTTTGGGGCCAGGGGTTTCCATAGGACACTGATAGTGAGCATCTGCATTAAGGAATTTGAAAATAGATTCATATTCATACTCTCATTTTGGTTTTTTGTGGTACTAGGAATTTTGTTTCTTTTTCCAAAGTTTTCATAAATGACTAGCATTGTGAGATTTGATTCTCTTCATCCCTCATTTGGGATTGTTTCAGTTTTGTTCCTGCTACTGCTACCCAGCCAAGCGCTTATAGTTGGTCAGCCTAGTGTTTTCAAATTCCAGTTCAACGAAGGACACTTGTCTTGTCCTTGACTATTACTAACAGAAAGCTTGATATGGATGGGTGGGTGGGTCAATGGATGGATGGGTGGGTGGGTGGGTGGATGGATGGATAGATGGATAGATCTAAAGCAAGGGAAATGGCAATAGAGTAGATGAAGAGCGTAGAAAGGAAACTTTCCAGTGCTGGATTTCTGAGCTGGAAGAAGTTGACTCCCAAGGCCTAAGGGCTCAGCAAGTGACTGCCGTGACAGCAAGGTAGCCTTGAGTAGTCCCCTGTACTGTTACTGTGACCTATGCCAGGGTTTTTCCTCTTACACAGCAGATACCCTTTAACAGAAAGATCACTGTTTTGTTTCCAGTCTCAACTCTTCCAGTGCCTCATTAAATGCTGGGTGAGCAGTACGATGGCTTTGTACTAATAGAGGTGCTTTCCACACAAGCCTGGAGACCTGAGTTGGATACTGGAACCCACTGTGGAAGAAGAGAAGTAGTCCCTATACGTTGTTCTCTGGTCTCCGCATATGTACTGTGGCACTATTATAGGGAGATGTTTTAAGTGCTAGCAGGGAGATGGAGTGAAATTAACTTAGGTCATTGGGGATGTCGGGAACTCTGCCCCTCTTATGTCTCTTTCCTGCCCACCATGAAGGATCAGCAAAGCTCTAACGTGTCCCAGCCATGATACACTGCTGTGATACAACCCAGAAGAGCCAACCAGCCTTGCAAGAAAACCTGAAATGGGAAACCCAAATAACCCTGCCTTTGTTGGTCACACCAGGCTCTTTTCTCCTATGGTGGGAATCTAACACAACCACACAGTACCTGTTCTGCAGCTACCTCATGAACATGACCGTAATTGCAACTACCTATACTTTTGCAACATGGACTGATAAGGATTCAGACACACACACCTCACTGACCCCCAGGTAACAACCACTCAAGACTGAGGTCCTTTCTGATGCAGCTTATGACTGCCACCTAGGGCCAAAAGGGGGACATGTCTTTTAGTCTTGGATGTGCCAAGAAGTTGGGCATATTCAACAGAGAGACACAGAGACAGAGAGAGTAAACAAAATGGAAAGGTGACTAAGACCCAGGAGAGTCGTGCCCATACTCTTCACTGTGTCTTTCTTGTCAGTGAGTATTGGAGAGTGAGAAATTCAGTCAGAGCGGCTCCAAGACCTGATGGAACGGTGAGAGTCCTTAGAGTGAAACTGGTCACCAAGTTGCAGTCAAGAGAGCTGAGAGGAGCCTGCCTGGGCTGAGTTACTCACTGGTGACTCACGATAGATTAGAAGGGTCTAAAAGTGATATAATCTGAGGAATTCCATCTATTTAGTGCTTCTCCCAGGCCCACCCAGGACAGCTATTCACAGCTCCCGGAACCTTCATACCCAGTACTAGCCCTTCCCAAGATGATCGAGTCTCAGAAATTTGCCACCAAGGGGAGGTCAGCAAGACTAACAATGTGCTAGAATGGATGTCTCTCGTCTAGGGTGGGGTGGGGGTGCAGGGGATTCCTTGTCTCCAGACCAGCCCCTCCATGAGCAGTTTCCTCTTCGGTCTCTCTCCTAGAAAAAGCCCAAAGTCAAAATTGGCATTGCACACATGGACCGTGCCTGGACTGTCTTTTCAGTGGTCTCTCTGGGCTGTGTGTGCAGCTGCCTCTCAACTCCCCGGGAGCTCTAAACCATTGTAGCATTAGCGCCTCAAATAAAACAGTCGTGGCAATGGGGGACCAGTAACTCTCAGGAGAGTAGTGTGCGCTGGGCTCTTAGGATGTAAATAGTCCCAAATACATTATGGAGAACCACTAGGCATACTCCACTCGGCAGAGTATGGCCTGGGTCTATCTGAGGAGTCCGTCCTGTCGCATAGGTGTCCTTTATCTGTGTCCATTCTTCTGACTCTTACAGTAGTAGGTGAGAGGGTTCAATATAAGGCTGTGCTTCCTCCTTGCATGATGGAGAAAATGGGACAACATCCAGGTTCTGTAAAGCTCTCTCTTCTCTTTAAGTGCACTTAAGTTCAGGAACTGCATACACTAAAGGATGCAGCAATCTGATAGCGGTCTCAATAGTCACACTGAGGACACAGCAATTTGATAGGGTTCTTTATAGGCACACTAAAGAACGTAGCAATCTGAGCGTTCTGTATAGTCACACTAAAGGACACAGCAATTTGATAGCGTTCTGTATAGTCACACTAAAGAACGTAGCAATCCCACAGGGTTCTGTACAGGAATGGAAGAATGACGTCTTAGCAGAAGCAGTGGCACAAGTCTATAACCTAGCACTCTGGAAACTGAGGCAGG